ATTAGCAAAATTGTAAATTGTGTAAGTGGCCCAGTCCAGTGAATGGACTTGGTGACATTTACAGGGTGGCACAGACATGTGTATGTTCATGTTCACATACCTGCAGTATAGAGACGTAAGTGGCCCAGCCCAATGAATGGACTTGGTGACATTTGCAGGGTGGCACAGACATGTGTTGTGTATGTTCATGTTCACATACCTGCAGTATAGAGACAGGATTAAAGTGCTTTTAGAGCTCTTGGCTTCCATAAATGAGCTGCTTAAACTGTGGAAATCTTTCACAAGTGTCATTAAATAAAAATAAATTAGTTTATGTTAGAAATATCATCATATCCCTTGGCCCTTCAGCATCTTTTCTCTGTCTGAAAGTATGTGGGATTTTTTGTTTGGTGGGCTTTTTTTTTGTTGTTTTTTGGGTGTTTTTTTATTTGTTAAGCTGTGAACATTATTAGTGGGGTTTTTTCTGCAGATTCATCTTTGATGTGATGTGGCTGCCAAACTGTATTGACATTTCCTAGGGACAGATAAAAGCTGTTTTGGAGCCACGACAGTGTTCTTGCCTGGCTGTAGCAGTACAGTCTGTCTGAAAGTATGTGGGATTTTTTGTTTTGTTTTGGTGGGCTTTTTTTTTTTTGGCTTTTTGGGTGTTTTTTTATTTGTTAAGCTGTGAACATTATTAGTGGGGTTTTTTCTGCAGATTCATCTTTGATGTGATGTGGCTGCCAAACTGTATTGACATTTCCTAGGGACAGATAAAAGCTGTTTTGGGGCCATGGCAGTGTTCTTGCCTGGCTGTAGCAGTACAGGATAGATGGCATTTGTGCCCTTTGGATTCTGTTTCATCCTGGAGCAGGAGGGCAGCTCTGGTTTGTGTGGCTGTGAATGACAGAGTGCTGTCACCACACACCTCATTTGGCTTGCTGTGCCAGAGTGTGATTCCTGTATTGGATTTATTGATCTGCTGTATTCCTGCAGCCTGGCAGGGGCTCTGATTGCATTATCCTTCCAGTGCAAATCAGAGCACAAAATGTTTCTTAGACACTTAGTAGCCAGGAGCAGGCATGGGCAAAAAGCAGTAAGACACTGTTTTGTCTTGGAGAGATGTCTCAGAAAGGACTTTCTTCCTTGGGAAAAAAAAAAACACAATTGTCTTTCATGTAACTTGTGACTGAGAGGCAATTTCTGATCCATCTTTTCTAGGATAGGATGGTGTTTATAGCAGGAGATGGGTGTGCTTTGGTGGGAGGAGCTCTGTGCAGCCATTGCTGTGTTTCTGTGGTTTATTTGGTTTATTTAGGTTCTGGACCTCCATGAATAGCCAGTGCTTGCCCAAAAATGCACTGTCTGCAGTTCTTTCATGGGCACAAAATGAGGTTTCCAGGTGTTCCCTGTCACTGTAGTACTCAGCAGGGCGCTGGTGCTGCTGGTGAAAATCTCCCTCAGAGTGGAGACACTGGAGCTGTTTGGGGGAATTTCACACAGGTGGCTGCTGAAACCAAAAATGATGATTAAGGGTTTTGTGAGGCTGCAGAACTTGACTTGTTTTGAAAAGCATCCAGTATGATTTCCTAGATGAAAGTGTAGACAACATTTTCAATTTGTTTCCTTACTCTTGCCTGCTGTTAGGGAAAGTTTTCTGTTCCCTGGTGCTCAGGAGAGTTTTCTAATAAGACGGAAAATTAAGTGAACAGGGAACTCAAGTAAGAATTAGTTGTCTTTGAGAAAGAGTGACAAAGTACATGACATATAGAGGTAACTGGAAGTTTGTTTGAGAAGTGGTGTGTACTGGGATTACTCTGTCAGTGCTAAAGGATTTGTAGTGGTCATTAGAGCATTGAGATCTTCAGTAAAAGTCATAACAGATTTACTGCTGAGCAGGTCTTTATTTTAGTGATGTTTCACAGTGATGAAATGACATCTAAACCCCATTTTTTAATCAAGTGTAATCTGTTGTAAGATTGTGCACCTTGTTCTCATACAGGCTTTGCAGTAATGTGAAAATCAGTGTGTGTTTTCAATATTTCCAAAGGAAAACTTTGAAATACTCTTCTATTTCCTATTTAGAAAAAGCAGTTACATACACCACAGAGAAAACACTGCTATCTCTACAGCACAATATAGGAAATAATGTCATGCTTGTGTAATTGTGCAGCTACTTGAGACACTCTTGAGTGACTTTTAAGAAGTTGTTGACCCAGTGGCTCAAATGTTTCTTTAGGATAACATCAGTGTTTTAATGGGGGCAGGTTTAAATCTACCATGCTCTTAAACACAAAGGGCAAATTTATGCTTGGCATATCTCCCTTGGCAACTCTGGCACCAAACCAGGGAGCAATTTCCCCTACTGCACTTAGCAACATGTTTCAGATTTGTAGTGCATGGAGCCATTAAAATATGACTCCATTAATTAGAAAGTAATTGTGGTGTTTCTTTCTGGTGCTGAGGGATTAACTCAGTTTAATCTCGGTGTGGTTAACAGAGGCAGTTAGCTACTTGCTTTAAATAGGAGTTAAATCTGTAAAAATTAATCATGACTTCATGGAGAGCAGGACTGGCCCCGTGGCAGGTGCCCAAAAATGGGGCTGGTGACTTCACTGAGCTCAGTGGTGATGTTGAACTGAAGGGCAACCTGATGCAGCCCCAGGGGCTGTTCTGTAGGTGGTCTGCACTTCAAATTCACATGCAAGCTTGCTATCTTTAAAAAAGATCATGAAAGAGAATGTGAAGCTGTCTCCAGCTCCAGTCCTCTGTGCTGATGCCAGCTCTTGCTTTAGGGCAGCTCCATGAAGCAGCAACAGGAAGAAACTGAAGCAAAATGGTTGAGCACTTGTCAGTATTTGCTGTCACCAGTAATTATCATTAGCAAATCCAGCTTGGCATGCTGGATATTAGACAAAAGCCAGCAGTGGAGCTGGCGTCTTTGGGATATTTTTCTTCCAGAGCTGGGATGATGGCATTAGGATATTTTTCTTCCAGAGCTGGGATGATGGCATTAGGATATTTTTCTTCCAGAGCTGGGATGATGGCTTTAGGATGTTTTTCTTCCAGAGCTGGCAATTCCCATCCTGTTAGCTGGTAACCAGCACGTTCTCCATCTTGATTCATTGCAGTGCAGAGAAAAATCAGCTGCCTCCATTCATCTGTGGAATGCTTCACTGCTGTCAGCTGATGGTGTCAGGAAAGCAGCTTTCTAGGATTTTACCACTGGGTTTGGAAGTGTTTGGAAAATTACAGGTAAAGCAAGGAGCTGTTACTGTACAGTCTCCTTGGCTTTGGGTAACACTTCAGTCCTGCTTGGGTCTGCCAGTCTGCCAGTGTCTTGTCCTTCTGGAGTAGAAAACCCTCAGCTTCAAGGCAAATAAAACATATTTCTAATGAAGGATATTGTAAGGAGATTTATGATCTCTTGGCACGTTCTCTTTTAGTGCATATGTAGGGTCCTGTAGCCTGCAAGCCTCTCTGCCTTGCTGTAGAGAGCTACAAAAAAAGAGGAACAAAAGGGTTAAAGCTGAGAAGAGGCAGCAGGAGGGATGTGGGGGGCTCCCTGGGGGGAAGGGGAGAGGAAGTGAGAGCTGCTGTGGCTGGGAGTTTGCCTTTTATTTTCTGCTGCTAGCAAGGCTGTGATCTGTGGAGCGTCCACTGAAAATACTGCTGCTTTTTTACTTTTTTGTTGTATGTTTACCATATTCCCAAGATCTCTAAAAAGGGGGGAAGATCATGATATTTGCCCTCTGTGTTATCCGTGATCCATGTGGTGCCAGCCTTGCCCCACATTTTGGTGGCTGCTGTGTCCCTGACACTGCCATCCCTGGGGAGTGAGAGCTGCTCCTGTCAGGAGCTGGGGCTCACAGCCTGACCATGAAAGGTTTTCTCTGCTTCTTTTCATCAGGGATTTTATATTTGATCTGGGGGTTTCCCATTTGGACTGGGAGCTCCCCCCTGAGATGCAGCACCAAGTCCTCTCCCTCCTTCCAGCTGTGCTGCCTAAAGCCATCCTCCTTCCTGGCCCATCACCCCAGCCCCTTGCTCCTGGTCCTTCCTCCCTCTCCCAAGCCTCTGCACCTTTTCAGATCCTCTTGAAGGCTGCTGGGACACAAGGAGCCTGCTGGGGCTGTCTCTGTCTCCTGTGTTCCCTGCTGCTGGGTGTAACTGGCAGGGAAGGTGCAGGGACTGCAGGAGGGCCCACAGAGATGCTAAGGTGATGCTGTTGGAACTGGGAATCTTATTTTTAGGTAGATGGCTTCCCCCTGTCTGTTACCCCTCTGTTGTTGAACAGAAGGATGACTGGAATTACCACTCCTTTCCCAGCTGTTGGAACTGGGAATCTTGTTTTTAGGTAGATGGCTTCCCCGTCTGTTACCCCTCTGTTGTTGAACAGAAGGATGACTGGAATTACCACTCCTTTTTTTTTTTTTTTGTCTTCTTTCCCCTCCCAGTTCCTTTGCAGAAGCCTGAAGTTCAACATTATAGAAAATGCAAAATAATCTCATTATTTATTCATATAGGTGAATAATTCCTTATTACTGTCTTTGGTTAATGAAGGATTTAACAAAACCAATTATTTCTTTTTTGTTCCATTCTGCCTACTGAGCCTTCTCTTAAAAAGGCAAAAGCAAACCTGTTAGGTGGATACTTTAGTAGAGAAACTTGAGTAAAAACCCCATTTATTTATTCAGAATGAAAAATGTGTGATGTTGTCCATACCCCTCTACACTACAGAGTGATAATCTAGTCTAGGATGTTGTGTGTATTTATGTTACATATATGTAAGCCCTGACATGCAGCTGCACAAAATAAAGCAGCTGAAATAAATAAAACTGAGAGCCCAGAAGTTGGAAAGTTGTGCTAAAAACTCACCACAAAGTTCTTGGTAATGTATTTACTGATGGCAGTGTCTGCTGGTTCAGTACAGTCTGTCCCTGAAATGAATGAACTGGATGTGTACCACCTTTCCTGCAGTGTGCAGTGGATTTGATGTGCTCTGGTTTTATTTTTCCTAGGGCTGCCAGAATGAGTACACGGGTGAAACAGGAAAGCAAATGACTGAATCTTTCAAGGTACGTGTCAGTGGCCTTCAGGAGAAGGCTTTTTTTCCATTGGGTCCCAAACTAAGGATCACAGAAGGGCTCCAGAGCACTGCAGCTTGGGAACATTATCAGCACTCCACAACAAACAGGGCTGTGAGAGTCAGGAATGCTGAGCAGCTGCCAGGAGCTGACATGAAATTGCATCCCTCTCTTTTTATTTTCATCTAGAAATGAGCTCACTTAAGGTACCATTCTTTGCCTCCTTCCTGAATGCAGTGCTAGTAACTAGGAGCTCATTTTAAAAACTGTGTGGGTACAGATGTCAGCTTCCAGTTTTCTGTTGAGAGTGCAGAGCCTGTCAGCTTGTGCTCCTTTGAATTCCACATCTGTCCTAATTTCCTTTTTCCTGCCTTTTCTGCATCTTGTGCCTTTATTATTTATGTCACACATCTGTAATTCTTTTTCTCTCTTATTCCCTGATTTGAAGTCTTTTAAAAAGTCTTATCTACATTTTGCAGAAATATAAAAGTAGTACTCAGAAAAACTCATGTTTTTTTCAGCAGTTCCCTTCCTGTTATTTCTGACTATTGTCAGCAGTACATGAGATGAAATTAGAATGATGTGCTTTGGAAGTGTTGTGTTCTTCCTGACTCTTTTGGGCACTGCCACAGCTGTGCAGTCTTCTGAACTATGCTTAAGTGATTATTTCCCCTTCAGTTGTCAGGCTCTAAACAGATATGAAAAATTAATGCTGCAATCAATATTTGATAATATATTGTTATATATATAATGTCTTATGTCTTACGATATCTTAATATCTTGTATCTATATAACACATAGATATAATATCTTTGATAAGGTTTATTCTGTTGTTGGTCTCTTTGAAAACAGCAAGGAATTCTTGAGAGTCCACGACTGCAGAATTTCACTGTGTAGCAGCATGCCATTTAATTTCTGTTTCCTCATTCTCAGCCCTTCCCAGTTTTTCTCTTCCTCGTTTCTTCGTGTTGTGTCTCTCTGGCAATTCTGCCCAAGGAGGAAAATTCAGGATGACTTTTCAGCTAGAAGGTCTGATTGAAAAAAGCTGACAAAACCAGGCACGCAGCCAGTTTTGAAACCACAAGAAATCACAAGTGGGGAGTGCAGGGGCTGTTTTGTGGATTCACCTTCAATGAACAGATAGATCTCAGCAGATTCATTCAGCAGAGTGTGCTGGGGTATTTGCACACAAGAATTGCTGCACAAGAGGACACTCTTGTGTAACTGAAGCAAACTTTCACTCATTGAGGCAGTCCGGAAGGAAGGCAGTGACAAGAAACTTTTGTGTTTGGGTCCCAGGTGAGCTTGGCATAAACTAAACCAGACTTAAGGCAGATTTAATTATACCAGCAGTCAAGCATGTGCCTTACCAAAGCTCCAAATACTGGGTGGCACAAAGCTGGGTTTAGTCCAGGTTCCTTTGCACTGATATTTGTGTGTCAGCCAGAATGGCAAATCATTGTAGGGGAGAGGCTGGGTGAGGGGAAAAGCACATTAGCAGGTGGGACAGATGGTCATAAAGAGTAATGCTAGGAGAAAGCAGCTGGCTCAGGCTGAAGTCTGATTTGTAAGACTTCATTCCTGCCTTATGGCTCTGTTTCTGAAGGTGAGCTGAGATTTTCTAGAAATGTAGAGATTTCTAGAAAATACTGTGCTGTGGGAAGTGTGTGTATGAAAGTTATTAAGGTGAGAACATAGGTCCTGGTTATAGTATTGTGCATTATAATAATTATTTTTCAGCCTTTAAACTTCACAGTAAAATTAAGAAGGAAAAACTTCATCAATGAAGACAAAACCAGCAACAGAAAATGAAAATAAAATAGTCTGGATTCATTCTAGGGAGCTTCTCAAACATTTTTGTGGAAGACAGTTATGGGGTTACAATTTCAGAAACTATAGCTAATAATATTTCAAAGGAATCAAGCTGACCCACGGGGCTCACTGTGCTGAGCAGAGCTGCAGTTTTGTGCCAGTGACCTAAGCAGTCCAGGATTGTGGGAGTGCAGCAAACAGGGTATGGTTTTGGTTAAAGCTTACATAAAACATATTGTTCACAGTGGGTCACGGCCAGCATTTGAATGCCAGCTCAGCCCTCTGAAGACGTTTCTGTTCAGAATGCAGTGCTGAGCTTTTTATTTTTAGGTGGGGAGAGCTGCTTTGAGTTGTGCTGCAGTTTCTGCCTGGCTTGGAAAGGTGGAGTCAGAAAGTCCTTGTACACTGGGAGGGAAGGCATGAATGTTAGCACAGTTTCTGGCAGTGGGCCCCTCTGACTGCTGCCTGCTCTCTGTTCTCATGCTTTTTAAAAGCAGCAGGTAAGAATTGGTGTTTCCTCCATCCTGACTGCCACGGAGCTACCTTGATTTGACTCAGTTCTGCAGTTAAAAGTCTCATCTTGCAGGTCTGTGGTTTACAGGGCATTTAATATATGGCATTTAGAGTTGCCTTGTGAGCAGTGATCCTGGAACAGCTGAGAAACATTGAAGGGAAATAGTGATTATGCTGCAGTTTTGTGTACTTTCTAAAGTGCCAGATCTCTAGGATTTATCTACCAAGCTCCTTCCATGTGACTGAAATCTTCTTCCCTTCCTCAACTGTTGAATGCACTTATAAAGTGTATTTTAAGGATATCACACAGTAATGGAGACTACAGTCATCCTTTGTGCCGCTGAATGATTTTTTGGGAAGCTGGATCAAGAAATGCACATACCCAGTTTTGTTCTTACACTTGCATCCAATAATACCATGAAACAGCACACAATTATGTCTAATGCACTTAATTTTTATGGCTAAAAGTCTGGTAGTTCCTTTAATGCATTCATTCTGCTCATTGTGCTGTCACAAGAGAGAATGAACGTTGTTTGGAGAATGCAGCAGTCTGTTTCCATATGTAACTCTGATTTGGTTTCTTTGATGTGTGAGTTCTGACTTGGAATTTCTAACCCTTGATGTTAAGAAACTAAAGGTGTCTGTGATGCCTTTTATTTCTCTCATATCACAAAAGATTATTTAATGTAGCCTTTTGTCTTGGAATTTGTCTTTGTTTTCCCTTTGAGACTGATACATGGAGTACTTCAAAAAGGTATTACCTAGTCCTGTAATGTTTCTCTTGAGTTCCAGTGGTCTGAACGTCTGGAAAAATTGGCATTGTCATGGTGCAAAGTTCTTTTGTTTTACTTTTTACCAGCCTGTTTAGTGTACCAAGGTGGTGCAGACTTTCTAGGGAATTTCTAGGGAATGCTGGCTGCTTTGCCACACTGAGGCAGAGTGGAGTAGCTGTAGCTTACAGGTGGACCTGGATTGAGTTGCTCTTGGGAAGGCTTGTGGTGGCAGAAGGAGAAATGTTTAACTCTTTAACTCCTGTGCTTGTGCTGTATTGGTGACATTTTCCCCCGATGTCTGGGAGGAATGATGATGAGGACTCCATCGTATCAGAAGGCTAATTAATTACATTATTATACTGTATTATTCTATACTACATTTACATATTTATATTTACATTACATCTAAACTGGATCTGCCAAGCGCTCCCCTGCACAGCATCTCCTGTCAGCCAACATTCCCAAAACACACACACCTGGATCCAGTTGGTCAGTGAATCAAAACACACCAGAATCCAGTGAGCAATTCCCTTCAGGTGAGCAATGCATTCCACCTGTGAACAAACACAGGCGCAGCAAATGAGATAAAGAACTGTTTTTCCTTTCCCTGAGGTTCAGAGCATGTGAATCCCAGAATATCCTTGGGAGGTTGTGCCTTGCTTTTCTCTGTGGAATGTGGCCACAGTGCTACTCTGAATATCTGTGAGTGCTCCCACAGTTTTCTGCCAGGCTCTGAGCCAGTGGGATGTGAGCCCCTGGCTGGAGCAGGGCTGTGCTGCAGCATCTTGGGCTTGCAGTGCTCTGCTGATGTGCCTGCAGGGCTTCCAGTTCAGGCTGCCTCACCTCCAGCCAGGTGAGGTGCTGGATACACTGAATTTTCCATAGGGATGTATGGCTTGGTGCACCTGCAGGGCTTCTGCTTCAGGCCCATCTCCCCTCCAGCCAGGTGAGGTGCTGGATACACTGAATTTTCCATAGGGATGTATGGCTTGGTGTTTGTTTCTTCCATTGCTGTAATGTTTTTTAAGCTGTGAGTTAGGTGATGCTGTGCTAAGTATTGTACAAATGTGAATATAAAGATTATTCCCCCAAAAACCCCAACCAAAAAAATCTCTGACAATTTTTACACAGACTCTAAAGCTGTTGTGCATTTACACAAGAAGAAACTGGAATTCTTTTTCCAGTGCAGGTTCAAATTTCTCCACTCTACGTATATAAACCTCCCCCAAAAACCCCAGCCAAAAAATCTCTGACAATTTTTCCGCAGAATCTAAAGCTGTTGTGCATTTACACAAGAAGAAACTGGAATTCTTTTTCCAGTGCAGGTTCAAATTTCCATTCCTGTTTTAAATTGAGAGATTGCCAGTGAAAGTTTTACATTACTGTGAGCCATAATCATTTTTATACTAAGGGAGCCTGTGATTTGTGGTAAATGCAGTGGGGTATAGAATTCCTTACTCTGGGAATTGGGAGAGAAAACAATCCATTTTGAGAAAATAGATGGTTTTAAGTTTTATTTTAGAAAACTGTATGGTATGTGAGACGTTTGCTGGCAGTGATAAATAACAAACAGTTCTTTGATCCTGGGGGTTTTTTAATGAAAGATGAAAATTTTTTTTACCAAATTTTCTTGTTTCCCATCCAATGCAAAGATCAAAGTACATAAAATACTGAATAGTCTGAATTTTGAAACATCATCTTAAAGTCCAAGCTACTTGACTTTATCATATTAGCACATTAGTGTGACAGGGTTAAAGTTCCACTTCTGGAAGAGTTTAGGAGGTACTGAGCAGCTTTCCTCTATTTTCATTTTATAGAGCAGTAGATAAAGTTGCTGACATGCTTAGAGCATATGGACCAGGGGAACACTCAAGTATTTTTTGGTATGAGGAA